GCAGGAGCTTCCTACCTGCCATGAGCCTGTGTTTCCCCAAAGAATCATCCTCTCTCCCAGGGGTTTTATGTCTTTTTATATTGGCATCATGGCTCTGGCCTCCCGCACCTTCCCCCGCTGAAGAAAGGGGCTGGAGGCTCGGGGCATCCCCGCGTTGGAACCAGGAACGGGATCCAGGTTTTCTGCTCTGCCCTCCACGCACGTGTGGGTTTTACAGGACCCGAGCCCAGCGTGGGTCCAGCCCACAAGCCCGGGATTTGCCCCAGAGGCCGCAGCTACACCTCACGGTGAACAAACGGCCGTGCTGGAAAAAAGAGGGGGCACACAAGCCCTGCACCCATCTCACCTTGATGACCTGCCCCCGGCCGGGCTGTAGCTGCGGGTCGGGCTGCAGCTCCCCAGCACGCACCCCGGTGCAGTTTATCACCACGTCCACGCCCTGGGCAAACATCTACCGAGAGACAGACGCGGCGCGGTGAGCGGCACGCGCAGCGATGCTGCCCACGGGGGCACGAGATGCCCGCACCGAACCCGAGCCGAGCACTCGGTCCAGGGGTCTGCTAATGAATAAACCACCGGGGCCGCATCCCGGGCACAGCCTGCCCGGCACGGCTCCCGCTGAGACCCCACGTGTGCGGGTGAGGAGCGTGTTGGCAGTTTAAGGGGACCCCAGGCTGCAGATGCTTGGCTGCTCTTCGCTCAGCGCTGCCCAGACGCGCTACCCCATCCGCTCCCAGCCCTCTCCTGATGCCCAACAGCCTTTTCCTGGGAGAATTTCTTTCCCAGATCTCGGCACGCTCTTGCCCCTGGGCCATCACTCAGAATCGCAGAGTGGAATCCCAGAATGGTGGAATCGTGAAGGTTGGAAAAGATCGCTAAGATCGCTCGCGCCAAGGGACGTCCCGGAGCAGCACGTGCCTGCCGGGGGCTGCTTCTCCCCGCCGGGACACGGCCGTGCCCAGCAGTGTGCTCAGATGCAGCTCCACTGCTTCAACTTTTATCATGCAAAAATACACTCGTTGGGCGAACTGTTAAAGCGGGGAGTCTCTCACCCCCACTGGGGCAGCGAGCTGGAATTCCAGACCCTTTTTCCCCGCTTCCCCGGGACGTGTCCCTGCCTCCTCTCTCCTTCGGCTCACCCCAGCGTGCCCTCGCCCCTGCGCTGCTGTTGCTGGGAGCAGGGGACAATGCTCAGGTCCCCCATGGAGGATGCTGAGGTCCCCCATGGAGGATGCTCAGGTGCCTCATGGAGGACGCTGAGGTCCCCCGTGGAGGATGCTCAGGTCCCTCATGGAGGATGCTCAGGTCCCCCATGGAGGATGCTCAGGACCCCAATGGAGGATGACCAGGTCCCCCGTGGGGGA